ACTTTGGCCACATTGTGAGAAAGCATGACTCATTAAAAAAAATGTTAGAAAAGGTGGAGGGAAGTAAAAAGAGAGGAAAACCACAAGCTAGATTAACATATTCAATTAAGGAAGTCACTGTCCGGGAAAGCAGCCAAAGGGCTGACAAGACAGCTGGCTTCAAACAAACAAAATCCCCAGCACAGCAAGTCAGTGTTACTACACAGTAACTCTACCATAGGGTTTACCAAAAGAATTGTCAGATGGTCCAAGGTTTGAGGTATCAGATAGGCAGATCGATAAACAGTCCAAGGTCAAGGTTTCCGGATAGTCAAGGTGATCTAGGAGACACGGAGCCAGAGACAAAGTCTTTCCCGTAGAAGAGTCAGATATCCACTGGCAAAGCACCACTCATGCTCCAGGTTCTTAAGAAGGCAAGGAGCTGACCTTCAGCTGTGTCTGATTACTAACACGCTTCTGCTGAAGCCTCCGTGATCTTCGCAAGCCCTCTCTTTCTGCTCGACGCTCCTTAAAGGTCTGGGCACACTGCCCAGATCCTCCTCCCTGTCTACAGCATCAGGCAAACCTGACTGCTGAACCTCTGGAGGGCCCACAGCCTCTGCTCCAGCAGAGCTAGGGCCAGCCTCTGGCTCTTCCACTATAGGTTCAAATCCCAGTGGCCCTGGCTCCTCCCTTACAGGTTCAGGCCCCAGGGGCTCCAGCTCATCCCCTGAGTCCTCTGAGTCGTCCTCCAGGCAGGGCATGACAGTCACAAGTATGAAGTTAGAGGACCTAAGCAGAGCATGCAGGATAAGGGGTCTTGAAGATAAAATAACAAAATAAAAAGAGAAAAATAATTATGTTACATCCATTTATAGTATGTCTGGTCTTTATGATGACAGAAAGTACAGTTTCTAGTATATTCATGGCTGATTGCATCTGTTTGTCTCTCTTAAAGTACAATAACATCAACAAATCCACAACACAGTTATACTTTTATTCAGCCAACTTAAATGCACAAAATACATCATGTATCACTGTTTTGTGGATTTTGGATGTTATTCTACTTTGCTCTATGGCCGACCTGGCTACCTCTGAATCTTAAGGTACATTCAAGATGTTATCTCTGCAAACCTACGTTGTGAAATAGTAGCATGGTTTTTCAATCTGATTCTGTTGGAAATTAGGTGTGCCTAAACCCGTTGTTTTCAATAAATAAAAAGAAAGAGAAAAAACCATGGATGACAGAAAAAACACTACAAGCAATAAAGAAAAGAAGAGAAGAAAAACAAAAGCGAGATAGGAACAAACTAAGAATTATGGATTCAACAATACAACAGCTTGTGCGGAAAGATAAAGAAAATTACTACAACAACCAATGCAGAGAAATAGAAGGCAACAACAAAAAGGGAAGAACAAGAGTTCTATTTCACAAGATCCAGGAAATCAAAGGAAAATTTAAAAAAAGAACTGGGATGCTCTATAACAGTAAAATCAACATAATTCAAGACCAGGAAGGAAGGAAGAAGTGTGATGCAATACACAGAAGAATTTACAAAAGAGACGACAAAATGAAGGACACATGGAATGAACAGCCTTATGAAGATGAACCCCAAATTATAAAAAGAGAGGTGGAAACTGCAATAAGAAAAACAGTGAAAAACAAATCACCAGGAACAGCCAATATTCCAATTGAACTGCTTCAGTCCACATTGACAGAGTCAACTCTAGTGCTAACCAACATATCTCAACAGATATGGAAAATAAAATGATGGCCAACAGATTGGAAGCGATTGATATACATCCCCATCCACAAAAAGGGTGACACAAAAGACTGAAGCAACTATAGAACCATAGCACTGATCTCCCACACAAGCAAAATCATGCTCAAAATTCTGCAACATAGACTTGAACCATACATGGAGAGAGAAATCCAGAGGTCCAAGTGCGGTTCAGGAAAGTAAGAGGCATGAGGAACCACATTGCAAATATATGATGGATAATGGAGCGCACCAGGGAATTCCAAAGGAAAATCAGCATGAGCTTTATAGATTATAGCAAAGCCTTTGACTGCATAGATCATGAAAGGCTATAGAATGCCCTTAAAGACATGGGAGTGCCAGCACATCTGATAATCCTGGTGAGGAATCTGTACTCAAGACAAGAGGCTACTGTCAGAACAGAACATGGAGAAACAGAATGGGCCCCAATTGGCAAGGAAGTCAGACAAGGCTGCATCCTTTCATCCTATCTGTTCAACTTGTATGCAGAACATATTAAAGGAAAAGCAGGCTTGGACACAGAAAAAGAAGGAGTGAAAATAGGAAGAA